GCCAAAGAACAAATAATCCAATCAAGAAATGGGCAGAAGACATGAACAGACATTTCTGCAAAGAAGACATCCAGATGGCCAACAGACACATGAAAAAGTGCTCCATATCACTCGGCATCAGGGAAATACAAATCAAAACCACAATGAGATACCACCTCACACCAGTCAGAATGGCTAAAATGAACAAGTCAGGAAATGACAGATGCTGGCGAGGATGCGGAGAAAGGGGAACCCTCCTACACTGTTGGTGGGAATGCAAGCTGGTGCAACCACTCTGGAAAACAGCATGGAGGTTCCTCAAACTGTTGAAAATAGAACTACCCTATGACCCAGCAATTGCACTGCTGGGTATTTACCCTAAAGATACAAACGTAGTGATCTGAAGGGGCACGTGCACCCTAATGTTTATAGCAGCAATGTCTACAATAGCCAAACTATGGAAAGAACCTAGATGTCCATCAACAGACGAATGGATAAAGAAGGTGTGATATATATACACAATGGAATACTATGCAGCCATCAAAAGAAATGAAATCTTACCATTTGCGATGACGTGGATGGAACTAGAGGGTATCATGCTTAGCGAAATAAGTCAATCGGAGAAAGACAACTATCATATGATCTCCCTGATATGAGGGAGAGGAGATGCAACATGGGGGGTTAAGGGGGTAGGAGAAGAGTAAATGAAGCAAGATGGGATTGGGAGGGAGATAAACCATAAGTGACTCTTAATCTCACAAAACAAACTGAGGGTTGCTGGGGGGAGGGGGGTTGGGGGGGTGGGGTAATTATGGACATTGGGGAGGGTATGTGCTATGATGAGTGCGGGGAAGTGTGTAAACCTGGCGATTCACAGAACTGTACCCCTGGGGAAAAAAATATATGTTTATAAAAAATAAAATTTAAAAAATAAAAAAGAATGCACATATATTTATGCCCAACTTGCCACTTAAACCCCCACTCCATGCCTTGTCCTACTCTTCCCCACATCCATATTACCACCACAACTCTTTCTTCTACATGGAATCCTAGGGGTGGAGTCAGGCAGAACACAAGGAAAATTACCTGCAGATCAATTTTATAAGCAAAGGGCTAAAGCAATAGTGATGTGACCAAGTGACTGTGACTATAGGATTCCTGTTCCTGTACTCTAATTCTTCAGGTAATGTTAAGAGATTTATTTTCATAAAACAAAGCTGATCTTATCATGATCCCAGCGTCCTGGGATCGAGTCCCACATCGAGCTCCTTACTTAGCGGGGAGCCTGCTTCTCCCTCTGCCTCTGCCTACCACTCTGTCTGCCTGTGCTCGTTCTCTCTCTCTCTCTAACAAATAAATAAATTTGAAAAAAAAAAAAAAAGCTGATCTCATCACTTACCTGCTTAGGACTTTTAATTAATAGTCTATTGCGGGGCTCATGTGTGGCTCAGTGGGTTAAGCCTCTGCCTTCGGCTCGGGTCATAATCTCAGGGTCCTGGGATTGAGCCCCACATCAGACTCTGCTTGGCAGGGAGCCTGCTTCCCCCTTTCTCTCTGCCTACTTGTGATCTCTGTCTCTCTCTGTCAAATAAATAAATAAAATCTTTTTTAATAAATAGTCTATTGCTTACCATAGTACTGTAAGTACTAAGCCTTTTTTTTTTTTTCTTTAAGATTTATTTATTTAAGAAAGGGAGAAAGAGCAGAAGGCAGGGGGTGCACAGGGAGAGGAAGTGAGAGAATCCAATCAGATTCCCCACTGAGCACAGAGCTCAACCTGGGGTTCGATCTCATAACCCTGAATTCATGACCTGAACTGAAATCAAGAGTTGAAGGCTTAACCAACTGAGTCAGTCAGGCACATCAGTACTAAGCCTTTAATACTCAGATTCCTTAAGGATCTGATACTAAATTATCTTCCAAACATAATGACCCATCACTCCCTTATATAACATATATTTTAAATAAATTTAAAAAATTTACTGTGCTTTCATTCACAATAATCTCGGTTATGAATGGTTGAGGGCAAACCATTCATTCCACAATTATTTACTAAGCACCCACTACATGCCAGGCACTACATTCAGTATAGAGTGGTAAGCAACCAAATGGGTCCCTTCCTTTACAAACTCAATAGATTTGCAATAAAGACAGATATTAAAATAGTAATTAGATGAATAATTCATTATTGCCATTATAATATGTGCTTCAAGTGTCTCAGAGTGCTATGAGGACAATGACAAATCTAACCAGGTTATGACAGCCAATTGACATCCAATCTCCTCATTTCTTGTCAGCCACAGTTGCTGCCAAAGGGCATTTTGGTAGGACCATAAGCCCCTGGGGAAGAGCTAAAGGGAAAATAAAGTCTTTCTTCAAATAACTGATCTGTCAGAGGTTCTGTGTATGGAAAATGGTTCCCATCTAAGACCTAGCCAATAACTCAAGTCACACAAGAAAACTTGTGGTTTTCTCACTTTAATTAAATATGTACTTATTTTATTTTTTAAATATTTTTAATCATTTATCAAATACTTGAACAACACACCACATGTCTTTGCACATGCTAGAAATCCTTCCTCTGATCTCTGTGTCAAAATTGTCTAACTTGATGGCACCTCATGCAGCAAGTCCCCTTGATTTTCCCTAAACCTAGTATATCTTCTGTCTTCCCATAGTACTCAGTTGTAACTCTTATGTAGCCTACCCTTTTCTACTGTATATTATCTCTCTTATATCCCAATTTTTAAGAATGAGGGAGGGAAGGGGCACCTGGGTGGCTTAGTGGGTTAAAACCTCTGCCTTCGGCTCAGGTCATGATCCCAGGGTCCTGGGATAGAGCCCCGCATTGGGCTCTCTGCTCAGCGGGGAGCCTGCCTCCTCCTGTCTCTCTCTGCCTGCCTCTCTGCCTACTTGTGATCTCTGTCTGTCAAGTAAATAAATAATGTCTTAAAAAAAAAAAAAAAAGAATGAGGGGGGGAAGAGAGAAAATGGAGGGGAAGAGAGTTATCAAGTTCTGACAGCCCTAAAGGACAGTCAGTCAAACCACTAATGCTGAGTTATACCCTAGGTAGTCAAAATGATCATATACAGGATGGCGAGCACAAGGGACATTAAGATGCAGTCATTGTCTCAGTAGGCCTCTGAAAGGAGAAGAAAAAACAGTATCATAATCCTTTTAGACATTTGTTAAAAATGCAAGAATACCAAGATAATTGAGCCATCTCTAAAATGGAAAGTCAGTGCACATACCTGATTCATAAGAAATTGGAAATGGTTAAATATATGTTATGGTATATGGTCCAACTCAGTATTTTTAAATTGGACAGTATTGACTTTAAAGCATTTTTCTCCTAGTTTTCAAAATAGTCAATGCCGAAATAGCACCCGTAAAATGTGTCCCATGACTGTTATAACAAGCTTGTCCTAGATACAAGAAAACTAATTGCAGAGTCTGTTTTTCTCCCTTTTCTATAAATACATTCTAAACAAAGGGTTATGAGTTTAATTAAATAAATATTAACATATTCCATGGAAAAATAAATGTCTTTCATAAGACTTCACTGTCTTGGCACCATCTCTACAATAACCAAAGTAATAAAGGATTTAATCTTATCCGAAGTAGGAATTTTTAGTGACACTGGAATTTCTGGTGAGCAGTCATTACACTGCTGTTGCAGTGTATGTTGAAGGAATGTCTTTTACCCAAGAACTTGACTGAGTTTTCTCATGAAAAAGTTATATGTACTTATATTTGTGCATTTAGTGGTAAATTACAATTTCTTTTTTAAAGCTTAAGATTAACCAACCGTTAAGAAAACTGAAAAAGTTTAATTAGAATCATAGAACTAACCCCATCACAAAGCCAAATAATTTTGAGCCAGCTAGAAAGGCACTTGCAGTTCTAAATCTGAATATTTTCTTTATCACAAAGATTTGCTTGTCACTGTAGAACTGAAATTAGATCAAAGAAATCACTTTATAATCTCTTTCCTAAGGATTCTCACCATATTTTGACAACCAGTGGAAATTATATAAGGCAGTCTATGGTTCAGTAGGTAAGAGCATGGATTCTTGGAGTCATGCTGACATGGGTTCAAGTCCTAGCCTTGCCACTCACTGGCTCTGTGACCTTAAGAGAGTAACTTAGTCTCTTCAAGTTTCAGTTTCTTACCTATAAAATGGTGATAATAACTGAACTATATTACAATAATGCCATGAAGATTAAATGAAGATGTGTAGAGTACTACTACAGGGCCTGGCATATATTAAGTGTTCAGTAAATATTAGCTATTTACTCTATTACTATTATGTATTATTATTATTATATATTGTAGCATTATTATATATTACTATTATTACTCTATATTATAGAATATACAATATAATACTCTTTATTATTTCTAGTGTCTCTATTGTCCATGATCCAGGCTACCTTTCATTAGCAACTTCCTTCCTAGCCCTATTCCCTTCCACTTTGTGAGAGACTCAAGCCAATAGATACACGTGTATGAAGGTCAAGCAAGGTTGTTGTAGTAATAGAAAACAAAAAGTAGATCAAGAGATGAACTTAGTGGAATCTTTTGGAAAGGTAAAAATATGTATTATGTTGTCAACCCTTCTATCCATCCACAAAACTGCAGTAATATATGTGTGCTCTTAGTCAGTTAAATGTCTACCTTTGGCTCAGGTCATGATCCCAGGGTCCTACGATGGAGCCCTTCTTTGGACTCCCTGCTCAGCCGGGAGTCTGTTTCTCCCTCTTCCTCTGCCCCACTCACCCACCCCACCCCCACTCCCACCCTGCTTGTGCGTAATCCTTCTCTCAAATAAATAAAATTTTTTAAAAATATTTTAATTTAAAAAAAGGAACTTAGAGAATTCAGACATTTGATAAATATGTATTAGGTGCCATGAATAAGAATGACACAGTCTCTACCCTCAAGGAGTTTATATTCAAGCTGGAGACACAAACTTTACACAGTGAATTATTTCCTTACAGTTGTAACTATATATTACAGAGAAGAAGAAAGGTGTGCAGAAAAAGAGCACTAATGAAGAAAGTGACCTCCCCAAACCACTGGAGTCAAAGAAGTCTTCTGTGAGGAAGAGGTACTTAGACTGACATCTTAGGGATAAACTGTCAAGAACTTGGGTTTGGAGAAGGTAGTTTTAGCAGAGGAAACACTATGTGTACAGTTTCTGAAGGTACCAGGTGTGTGATGCATTTCAAAACTAAAAGAAGGCCTGTCCAGAGCAAAGGACAGTCATGTTTACTGACCATTAGAAAAGTTTTGGGCCCCAATCTCAGGATTTCTCTCCTTTAATGCAAAGTATTGCATATGCAGGTGTTAGATGGTACTCTTTGTGTTTCCTTGGGAGAATTGAGGCTTGGGATATGCATATTGAGAGAGAAAGAGAGGAATTAAGAGAAAGTCAACAAAGCACTATAATTAAAAGCATAGATTTTGAAGCCAACCTTCATGGTTTGAATATTAGCTTTGCCACTTATTAATAAGATTTGCTGTTTTCTTTCAGAAAAGAGGAAAAAAGGGGGAAACGTGCCAACTTGTTTTATGGGAATAGAATAACCTTGACACAAAACTTGACAAGGATGTTATAAGAAAAAAATTACAGATCAGTGTCTCCTGTGAACATAGATGAAAAAATCCTGATAAAAATATTAGTAAACTGAATCCAGATATGTAAATCAAGATAATTCATAATGATCAAACTGGATTTACTCTAGGAATACAAAGTTGGTTTAATTTTTTTAAAGACAATCATTATATTTCAACATGTTAACAAAATAAAGAAAAAGAATCATTCAAATAAATGTAGAAAGAACATTGATAAAATGAAATTTCTATTCATATTAAAAACTATCAGCAAACTAGATAGAATGGGACTTGAGAACTTCCTAAAGATGATATGAGGTACCTTAGAAAAACAAAACAAAACAAAACAAAAAACCTATAACAAACATCATAGTCAATAATGAAATGTTGAAAGCTTTCCCTCTGAAACTGGAAACAAAACAAAGATGTCTGTATAATCAAGATAATGGTCAAGATTCTAGCCCAGACTCCCAGCCTCCAGAAACTGTGAGTTAATAAATGTTATTGTTTCAAGCCACTAATTTTACTGTAATTGGGGTAAATTTGATTTTTAAATTAACTTATAGATCCAAGAAATTCAGTGAACCTCAAGCAAGAGGAATATAAAGAAAAACATACCTAATCACATCAAAATCAAAGGTAAGAGAAAAATGACATATCACATATGGGATGACAGCAATAGTGATGACTCACTTCTCAACAGAATCAGTGAAGAACAGACACAATGTAAGGACATCTTGTAAAGCTCAAAGAGCAATGGCAACTAGAATTATATGTCTAGAGAAAACCTTTCAAAATTAGAATAAAATAAACTTTCAGATTAGAGCTGAGAAAATTTTTCAACAGTAGACCTACACTATAGGAAACACTAAAAAAGCAAGCAAACAAACAAAGAAATACATAAATAAATAAATCTCCAGGTTCAAAGGAATGATAGCAGATGGAAACTTGGATCTATATGAAGGCATAAGATGTACCACATATGGTAAATATATGGGTAAATATATATGTAAAGATCTACCTCTTTTTTCTTTTTTAAATTTCCTTAAAGGACAACATACTGTTCAAAACAAAATAATAACATAATAACATGGGGGTTTATAACATATGTAAAGCAAAATAATATATAGCAACAACAGCAAAAAAGAGAAAGAGATATAAGTGGATTTATAATATTGAATTTTCTCACATTTTATATGAAGTGATTCACTCTTCATTCTGAGTAGACCATAGTAAGTTAAGGGTGTCTATTGTAATTCCTATAGCAGCCATCAATAAATAAATAAACTAAAAGAACAACAGAAAATATAAAACATAAGACTAAATTAAAAAAAAAAAGACTAGATTAAGTAAAAACAAGGGTGGAAAAGAAGAACCAAAAATTGATGAGGCAAACTGAAAACAAATAACAAAATGGCAGATATAAACTAAACCATACCAATAAGTAAATTCAAAGTAAATGGATTAAACTCTCCCTTAAGAGGAAGAGACTCAGAATGACTAAACATCAAGACCTAACTACATGCTGTAGACAAGGCACACACTTTAAATATAAAGATACAAATCAGTTGAGAGGGAAAAAAAAAAAAAGAGAGAGAGAGAGTGACAATGCAAACAGAATTTAAAATCACTAGATTTACACCAAAGTGGACTTCAAAACTATACATATTTCCAGGGACAAGTAGTAGTATTTTGTAATAAAAAAAGAGTTAATTCACCAGGAAGACATTATAATCCTAAATGTGTACATGCACCTAAATGTGTATATGCACTCTACATATAGAGCAAATATTTATAAAACTAAAAGAAAAAAAACACAAATCCACAAACATGATTAAATATTTTATCATTTATCTCACAGTAATTGATAGGACAAAGAGATTTTTAAAAAGTTGTAAGGATACAGAAGATCTGAATACTATTCACAACTTGACTTAATATCTAGCAATACCCAAGAAGTTCAGAATTCGCATTATTTTCAAATGAGCGTAGAATATTCTTCAAATAGACTATATGTTAAGCCCTAAAATAAGTCTCAAGGGTGCATGGGTGACTCAGTTAAGCATCTGACTTCAGCTCAGGTCATGATTTCAGGGTCTTGGGATCAAGCCCATTAGGCTCCCCACTCATCAGGGAGTCTGCTAAAGATTCTCTCTCTCTCTCCCCCTCTGCCACTCCCTCTGCTCGTGCATGCTCATTCTCTCTCACTCACTCTAAAAATAAATAATAAATCTTAAAAAATAAAAAAAGTCAATAAATTTCAAAAGGTTGATATAGTGTTCTCAGAATAAGAAAAATCAAATTAAATAATAATAATAGGACATCGAAAAAAATCTGAAGAAATTGAAAGTCAAACAATACACTTCTAAACAATGCATCATCCAAAGAAAAATGACAAGGAAAACTAGAAAAGACTTCTAATTGAATGATAATGAAACACAACATAACAAAATTTATAGAATGCAACAAAAGCAGTGTTTAAAGGGAAATGCATCATTTTAAATGCCTTTATTGGGAAAATCTTTCACAGAAAAAATATAATAAAATCTTCATGATTTGGAAGAATTAATATTATTAAAATATCATCTTCCCCTAACTTATCTACAGAGTCAATACAATCCAAATAAAATCTGAGCAGTTTTTTTAATTGGCAAGCTGATTTTAAAATTTATATGGAATTCAAATTACTAACAGTGGCCAAAACAATTTTGAAAAATAAGAACAATGTTGAGTAACTTAAACTACTTGATTTCAATACCTACAATAAAGATGTAATCATGACAATGGAATATTGGTGCAAATATAGAAAAATAGATAACAGAACAGGACACAGAATCCAACAACAGACCCACAAATGTATAGCCAACTGATTTTGACGAAGACACCAAATATCAATGGGGAAATGATCAGAGTTGTTTTTTCCCCAGTAAATGGTGTTGTAACTATATATTCATGTGAGAGAAAAAAATTCATCTCCACTCCTATCTCTCACTTACACATAAATTAATTCAAAGTGAATTATAGACCTAAGCATAAAAATTAAAACTCTAACATTTATTAGAAAGAAACAGAAAAGATTCCTTTTGATCTGATGGTAAGCAATGAGTTCTTAGGACACAGAAAGCATTAACCAATTTTTTTTTTTTAAATGGCTAATTGGACTTCCTCAAAATTAAAACTTCTGCTCATCAAAATACATGATAAAGAAAAGGAAAATTCTCTTAGGCTCTTGGAACATACCAAAGAATTGAGTACCATGTCCAAGCAGAGACTACACACTAGCACCTCCTTGCCTTTGTTTTCCCTTTCTCCAGTTTCTTCACTACTGCTCTCTCGAATCACATTCCAAAATATCCCACACATCATCTTTCACTTCAGCCTCTGCTTCCAATGGATCCTAGGTTAAAACAATGTTCTAGTTCATGAAGTACAGATGAAGTCTCTTGGGCCAGGAAGAAAGAGAAACTACCACTTCGGAACACTCAGTATATACCAGGCTCCGTGCCAGGCACTCCACAACGGCTATTGCACTTGATACACACCAGAACTATGAAATGGCTCAAACTGGAAACTGGGAAACATGTTATTTAAAATTACACAGCTTTGCTAGGGCTAAAACTACAGGTTTCTCTTACCTCAGTTCATATTCTCTTGTTCTCCCCACTGCCTCCAGTAATATCTACTTTTGACTGTGCTCTTAGACATATTTTTGGAAATGAACTGTCATGATAAAAATAACAACAGTAGGGGTGCCTGGGTGGCTCAGTGGGTTAAAACCTCTGCCTTTGGCACAGGTCATGATCCCAGGGTCCTGGGATCGAGCCCCACATCGGGCTCTCTGCTTGGCAGGGAGCCTGCTTCCTCTTCCTCTCTCTCTGCCTGCCTCTCAGCCTACTTGTGATCTCTGTCTGTCAAATAAATAAATAAAATCTTAAAAAAAAAAATAACAACAGTAGCTATTATGCCTCGAGTGCCTGTTTATATCAAACAATTGGTGAGGCACTTACAATTAGTCCTCACTGTATCTCCGCAAGCTATTACCATCTCTAATTTATTCAATTGAAAATGGAAGCTTGCTGAGGTTAACTTTCTGAAGGTCTTCTGCTAACAGAGTAAGAGCTAATTTTTGTGTTCATTATATGCCCTTAACATCTATAATTACATTTAATCCTCTCATACATTCTTGAGATACATTTTTTATGATCATCACATTACAGAATCAGTCACTCCAAAGCCCATTTTCCCCTGTCATGTTGCTTCTCATTATAGGAAAGGGTAAAGGAAAGTAATACACAGTCAGAAAGAAAGAAAGATAGAACTACCATCACCTTCTCTATCACATATGTTGATAAAAGACTTGGACAAATTACTTAGAACAAAGCAGTAGTCTCACCAATAAGCACCTACTAAAAATATGACCCATGGCTAGTTTTCTTAACCTCAACACTATTGATATGTTATCTGGATAATTTATTATAGCAGAAGAGTGTCCTGTGTATTACTGGATGTGTAGTAGTATCTTTGGCCTCTGACCATTAAACACCAATAGCACCCTACCTCAAGACAACAAAAAGTGTCTTTATACTTTGCCAAAATTGTGCCTAGCTGACAACCACTGGTTTGTGATATTTTAACCAAATCATTTTAATTCTGAATTTGAACAAAGCATATCAGGTAATGGTTCTTAGGAGAATTCTACTTTTTTTCAAATCAATTGTGGATATGTGAGCCAGCCTTTAATCCAGATTCACATCTTCTCTTTCTCTACTCTTACTCCTTCCCTCCCTCTTGTTTTGTCTCCAGCTCCCAGGGATGCCATTCACCCAGTAACAACAGACTGAAGCACTGGAAGAGACCTTGTTCCTGGGCCATGAGGGCCTTCTCGTTTCTCATCAGTTATTTCTCCCTTGATTCAGATTTTTTTGTCTAGCCCTGATTAGCATACCATCATCTCCAGACAAAGAACAAAACCTATGTAATTGGCTCTGCTTCTAAATGAAAGCACACTATGTTAAGAACATTGTTTCTATATTTACAAATCCAGGACATGATTGAAAGTGTCACACTCTCAGTGTAGGAACAATATGCCCATAATCAAACATCCAAAGCAAATTGTATGATTATTTGTATTATCCAAGATTTCAAGGCTGTTTCAGGGCAGAGAAGCTAAGTAGAAATATGCCAACTTTTTCAGCAGCCCCTTTTCTCCTGCACACACAGATAAAACTATTTTGCGCATTATTTTGTCTAAAATTTTGACACAAATTCCCCTAAACATTCTAAACTTATGGATCATAAATAAATGTTACTGAGTAGAAACTATAAGAGATATGACTAGCCTAAAAAAGATCCTAGGTTTTTAAATATCTCCTAAACTATCAGTTCTTTTTGGAATATACCATGAAGCAGGAGTGTGTGTGTGTGTGTGTGTGTGTGTGTGTTATAAAAAGCTGAATGTGTCCTCTCTTAGAAATTTGGCCAAGTAAAATACCCTCTACAAAGCTATTCTATAAATAACTTCTACAAAGTTCTATGATATTCCTATCACGTCTTTTAAATAAATCTTTACAGGTAAAGTTAAAAGGGTAAAACTCAAAGACGACATC